ACGACCCAGCAAGGAAAAATGAAGTTTTTTCCACATTGATAAGTCTTTTTGTACTGATTTCCACAATTTTTCATAATTATTCTGATAAAGTTTCATGTTAGAGGAGGACAAAAAAATTCCCAGGTACTTAACTTTACTAACCACTTCAAAACCTGATATTTGCGTAAGTTGTTTTTTGTCTTTAGCAGTCATATTCTTTATAAGAATTTTAGTCTTTTGAGCATTAGTTCTAAATCCCGCCACCTTGCCATATTGATGCAGCACTTGCAACAAAGTTTCCAGTGACTCAATTGGTTGAGACAATGTAAAAACCAAATCATCCGCAAAAGCTTTAAGCTTATATTCTTTAGAAGAAATTCTTAAACCTTTAATCATTGTAGAATCTCTAATTCTGAATAGTAGAATTTCTAATGACAATACAAATAATAAAGGAGAGAGTGGACAACCTTGTCTAGTACCTTTTTGTATATCTATAGGCTCTGTCAAATCTCCATTTATAATTATCTGAGCAGTCTGTTTTTGATATATCGCCTTTATAGCTGTTTTAAATTGATCTCCAAAGTTCATATGATCCAGCAATTTATTTAAAAACTGCCATTCCAATTTATCGAAGGCCTTCTCCGCATCAAGAAAAATAAAGGCCGAAGGTATTTGATTATTCTTGTCCAAGTATTCCAGTAGATTTACAATTTGCCTGATATTATTCTTCATGTATCTCCCAGATATAAAGCCAATTTGATCATCATGTATATAATGTTGCAATATCTGCATCAATCTATTAGCCAAAATTTTTGCAAAAATTTTATAATCCACATTCAATAAGGAGATAGGTCTATAATCTTTAAGTTCCAAAATTTCTTTGTCATCTTTCGGTATCAGAGATATAAAGGCTCTTGTCCAAGACTGAGGTATTTGTTCTCCCAACATAATTCTATTGAATAAAGTTTTTAAAGGTTGTAGCAGTATAGCTGACAATGACTTATAATAAATTGCTGTTAAACCATCCGTCCCAGGAGCTTTACCAACTTTTAATTGTTTAATTGCATTTAAAATTTCATCTGTTGTAATCTCATCATCCATAATTTTCTGCTGTTCCAGTGTAAGTTTATATATAGGTGAAGATTGTAGATATTTATCAATATCTTTACTGTTTATAGTCTCTGAGGAGTACAAATGCGAATAAAATTCAGTGAATGCCTTTTTAATCGTTTCTTGTTGATGAATTTCATGCTCTTTAACCAAAACTTTAGATATAAGTCTCGCTTTTTGTCTCTTACGTATTTGGTAGGCCAACCACCTCCCCGGTTTGTTTGCATTAGCAAATGTGTTATGTTTAATATACTTCAAGTTGGTGGCCACCTGATCAGTAATTAATAAGTTGAATTGATCTTTAAGCATCTTAATAGAGTTTTTTAGGTTAATATCTGTTGGTCGTTGTGATAATAATTTTTCCTTCATCCCAATTTCTTTTTCCAAGTTAAATCTAGTCTGCGCTTGCTTACGTTTATAGGCATTATTCATAGCAATTAGTATTCCTCTTAAATAAGCCTTGCCAGCATCCCATACA